AGTGGGTGACTTTCACCTCCCTCCCTCAGTCATCCAGATTCTCAACCTGTTTTTCCTCTTCTCTTCCCCCATTCCCCATTGTCCAAACCCAACCCTACTTCACTGGCTTTGCCTAAACCCAGAAGTCCTTATCTGTATAGAGTCCTTATGCCTGGCACAGCAGTAGCAAAACCAAATCTGACCTAGGAAAAAGGACAATGCGAGAGAAAGACCGACGAGTCAGATGAAGAGAAAGAGTTTATGTAAGAGGCCAACAAAGAAGTCAGAGAGGAAAAAGAGAAAGTGAAAGAGTTGGAACAGGGGTGGGGGAGCAAGGAGAGATGGGTGGAATGAGGGAGGGGAGCCCTATGTGCCCAGACTGGAGAAGGGGGAGAGCAGGCAGGGCCTCCATTGTACAGGCACAAAGGAGCCATATGCTGAGCAGCATAAGACAATGTGTGTGTGGTGGGGGAGGGTGGGGGGGAAGCTAAGTGGCTGAGAGCAGACCCCCTCCACACACTCTACCCTGAAACCCCTGGGGCCCTGCCGTCTGCTTTGCCACTGGAAAAAGGAAAGGAGTAGTGGGGGCAAGGAAGGCAAGCACCTAATGGCTGGCATTTTGGAACCAGGAGGCTGTGCATGACTTAGAGAGGGAGAAGGGCCTGAGATACAGTCAAAGTGGAAGTCCTCAAGGTGAAGACAAGAGTGGGGGAGGATGAGGAAGGACAAGGCCTGAAAGTTTCTTCTCTTTTCCTGCTCTTGCTTATCTCCTACCTACCTGCCAGCCTACAAGCCTAGATTAGGAGATGAAGTGAAGGCAAGAAACCTGTATCCTGCTCCTCCCCATTTGCAATCCCTCTACTCCCCACAAGCCTCTTCTTCTGACTCCTCATCTCTTCTCTCCCCACAACTTTTCCTACCCCCACATCACTCAGCACCTCTTTCCTAACTTCTGCATCTCCCCTATTTGCCCACTTCCTTCATTTCCACAACCTCCAAACCCTGGCTTCTTCTTTCTCTAGCCTTGGGGTTTCCCATGTCCATAATCCCTGACCTCTGTCTCCCCACCACACTTTGTCCCTTGCTTCTTCCCCCATCCCTGTTCCTCCTCCTCCTCCTCCTCCTCCTCCTCCTCCTCCTCTCATCCTGCTGAGCAGAGCGGCAGCCGAAGCCAATTGATTATCCAAAGAAATTTGGAGCGAAAGGGAGAACAGCTGCAGCTCAGCCCCCCTTCCCACTGCCCCTGGTCCTGGGGGAGCCCCAAGGGGAGGAGCCCAGTAACCCCTTCAGCACCCCAGCCTGGAGTGGAAAGAGGTAAGGGAGAGGAGCAACATTGCTGAATAAAGAGCTGCATGATTTAGTGGAAAGACCACTGGACTTACAGTCAGGAAGACCTGGGTCTATGTGGAAGCTCGACTTTTTACTAGCAGTGTGACCTTGAGCAAACTGTTTAATCTCCTCAGGTCTCAGTTTCCTCATCTGTGAACTGGGGACAACAATATCTATACTGTGAGGGGAAATGCTGCTATTATTATAAACGTGAGCAGTTATTACTCCTAAGTTGCCATAACATAAAGCAGTGAAAAGAACATTATACTCAGAGTCAAGAAAAATGGGTTCTCGTTCTTGTGTGACCTTGAGTACACCTCTTTGTTTCTCTGAGCCTATTTACTTATCTGCTCAATGGAAGGTTAGGGTTGGGTTCAGATCACAGCACACTGGTAAATGTCTAATCGCCAACTTTTGGGGGCAGGGTGGGGGACCAATGTACAAATGATATATTTTTAAGTTTAATCTGCATTATTCACACTTTCTTAAACCTAGACTATCAACAAAGTAATAAATCAGGCTTATGGTTTGCTGACTTCTGAGGTATAAATGCTCACATGGAAAATTTAATAATTGGGTAGACCTGACTCCAGCATATCACTGGTTAAGATGATCAATTAAGGTCTCTTTCTAGCACTAACATTCAATGATCCTCTGTTGTTTCAGTTCATCCTTTGTCTCTGTGACACCCAACCCAAACAGGTCAAGTGTTATCTTTTTAAGAGTTGATTCTCCATCTATTTCACTTTCTTCTATCCCACTTCAAACTCTTCTCCATCTGGAAGTTTTTTCTTACATCCAATCTAAGTATCTCCTGTTGAGGCTTTCACTCTGTCCTTTGTGAGATAAAGAACAGAAACTTCATGGGGCCTAAGATGTTCAGACTGCACCCCACCCCTCAACCACCACCACCTCCATCCACCTTTCTCCAACTTGACTTCAGCTTTGTCTTAGATGATCAAACAAACAAATGAATCCTTAGGATCCAAACAAGCACAGAATGCAGGAACCCCCTCTGGGGATGTTCACTCAAGCCTCTTCTTAACATTTTCAAGTGTCTCTCAAGGCAGCAAACTCCATTATTAGGCAGTTCTAATGGTGAGAAAGTTATTTCTTCTATTGAACTCATAGGCTCATTGATGTAGAGCTAGAAAGTCATCTAGTTCAACCTCTTATTTTACAGATGAGGAAACTGATCTGTAAAGGGGCAAATTGGTCTTCCCAAGGTTAGTACCTTATTGTAATTTCTACCTGTTGGTCCTAATTCTGCCCACAGAGCAACATAGAATAAGAGAAATCTCTATTTCATGTGACCGCCTTTAAAAAAAAAAAAGCAAAACTTGAAGACAGCCTTCTCTTCTCCAAACTAAAAATTCCTAGTTCCTTCAACTGTTTTTCATGTCATTTGGTTTCCAAGTTGCTTATCATTGCCTGGATTTCCATGTCTCTTCTCAAAGAGTAGTACCCAGAAATGAATAATACTAATGCTACTATCATTATTAATCATCCCAAATCTCTCAGGTTTTTCTCCCAGCCCTATCCCTATCTTATCCTCAGTTTTTCACCACCATCCTTCTACTTGGGCTTGGGGAATCTAAGAATGAGCATTTGGACTTTGAGAGTCTAACCCAAGCTGGGAAAAATGTAAAGGGCCCTATTATCCCATTCCCAGAAAAATGACTGACCATGGTGGTCACCAATTACTGAGATATATTCAGTTAGGGCTCCTTTTATCGCCCATAGCAGGAAAGGGAGCAAAACCCCAGAAGTAAAAGAATAAAACAACCAACAAAAAAATCAGCTCCATTCAGTGAGTACCTTAGCCTCTTTAGGAATCCGAAGTTTGTGAGGATATTGAGCTTTGGTTAAAGTAAAAGGATATATCAAGTTTCCCTGGACTTCTCCAACATTTGTCTAACCTTTCTTCACTTCTCTCAGGCTCCCATACTCCTTGTATTCTCATATTACCATAATAGAGATTCCACCCCATAGAATGTATCCTCTTCTCCCACTCCAGGAAAACTGGTATCATAGCCTTTCAGACCCAGGTAGGAATGAAGCACGGACATTGTGGAAACTGGAAAAAGGTTGCTTTAATTTTCCTTTTTGTGTGAAAATCATAACTGTCATTAAGGGAATCACATAGGATACAGAGCAATGGGACCGGGGCTATCTGAGGTTGTGGGAGTTTCAAAGTAGAAGACCCAAGCTCAGAGCTGATGCTGGATGAGGTTTGGGAGAGGGAGATATGAAAAGGAGTCCAAAATCCTTGGAAGGAATGCAAAGAGAATTTTGAGAAGTTTCTTCTTGCAGAGAGGGCAAAGCAGGGAAATTACACAATGAGGATAATGGAAGGGGTGATGCGGTGAGAAAAAAGCCAAGGTTGGGGAAAGAAAGGAAAAGAGAGGGGTGGGAGGAGAGAGAGACAGAGAAAGAGAGAGAAAGAAACGTCCAGCTAGAGCGGCTTCAGACCCTCACTCTAAACCAAAGTGCACAATACGGCAATAAATAGCAACATTTATAAATAAATTAAATAAATAACATAAATAAATAAATATCCTTGTGGTAGTGTAAGTTTGGGGGAAGGGTGAGAAAGAAGAGGCAGTAGCTGGGGAAGGGAAGAAAGGAGTCAGCACTGTCACTCCTATACCAGCCAATGGTCCCTTTAGCTCATGCCCCTTTTACACATTGTATTTGTGTATATGCATGCACATACACACACACACACACATACACACACACACACACACATTTTGATGACCAGGGTAGGATTCAGCCTTCATCCTTTAGCAGAGCTAGAGGGGACCCCCTTCTCTAGAAGCACTTCTGGGCCCAGAGGCCCTGCCAGGAAGGAAAGACACAGGAGAGGCAGTTTCTTTTTGGTGGGGAACAAGGGGGGAAGAGAAAAAAATGTTATATCTGAAGTCATAGAACCTGCAGAGACCCAAGAGGAATGAAATTCACACACATACATACATATACACACACACATACATAAACACCCCATGGGGGTGATGGGACATATGCAGGTAGGTATCTGAAGTCTGCCCATTGGCTAGTTCTCCTCTAGATATATTAGATCTGCTTTGGATAGGCCCTAGGTTACTCTGACCTTTGATCTGACCAGATCTGATCAGATAATACTTTCCCTGGGCCACAAAAAAAAAAATGGAGAGGAAGCAGGCAGAAGGGTAGAAATAGCCAAATAACCCAGACAAGCAAAGCATACAACTAGGAAGAGATAAGCATCAAGAATCAGCTAGATAACAAAAATGATACAGTTTCTTATCTGAGGGGATCTCCAGGGCATGTACCCCATTTACCCTGACTCCAGCCAACTTTTACTTTCCTGGTCCAACTTATTCCCTCCAGCTCTAGGCAGGATTTCCCGAAAAGGGATGGTGAATGTGAAGTGGTGGTTATGTAGGTGAGAGTCAAAGATCTCTAACAATCCAGATGTGGGTAGGAACTACGGCAGCTCGACCAAAAGCTAGGTAGAAACAAAGAACAGACTTGAAAAATAGGGTAAAGGCCACACACTGGCTGACCCCAAAAACATTTCTGACCAGATCAACCCTCTCTCCCTCTCTCTTCTCTCTCTCTCTCTCTCTCTCTCTCTCTCTCTCTCTCTCTCTCTCTCACACACACACACACACACACACACAAATACATATATACATACATACATACATATATACATACACAACTGCCACCACAGCTAACTTGTAAAAATAGCCTCTCTACCCCTGGTCTGAGCTAAGCTGTTGTTTTCCTTGGCCAAACGGACATTTATGAGTCTGGGGTGGCCAGGGGAGGAAGGGAGCTATGATGGGGTGGTGCAGGGACTTAGCAGTCCAGACCATAGGATGTAACAAGAGAGAGAAAGTGAGCTGGGCAGCAAGGTATTCTCAGCTGGGACAGAAAGAGACCCCAAGGGTAGGATTCCCCCAGACAAGGGACCAAAAAGTTCAGACATCCAGGACATGGTTCAGGTAGGAAATATAGCAGATGGCCAGGCGTAAGATTTCAATCTTGGAGAGCTTCTTGTCAGGGGGTAAGGTGGGCAGCAGCTTTCGAAGCTCAGCAAAAGCTAAGTTGAAGGCCTCCACTCGGATCCGTTCCCTAGTGGCATGGGCAGTGCGATACTTGGCTGTGGCCCGCCGCCTCCGCCTCCGTTCCTCACGGCTCAGATGCTGCAGGTCCTTCCGACCAGACTCCCCCATCTCAGGACCCCTGGCCTGACCTCCCCCAGGACCTCCAGGTCCTGTCCTGTCCGAACCCACACCTCCCCCACAGTCACTGAAACCTGATTCTGTCTCTGAATGGGTGGGAGGCAGGTCTAGCTCCATGGGGTCTGAGTTAAGCATCATGATGCAGGGGGCCCCCACCCCGGAGGAGCTTTCCAGCTGGATGGTGGTTGGAGGGGGAGGAGCTCAAGGAGGGACCTGGAATGTTAGGTTCTAGAAGTTCTATTGAGCACAGGCACCTCAGAGTTCCATGGCCCAGCACAGCCAAGATCCTGGAAGAAAAAAAAGGAAAAAGTACTGAACAGTGCAAGTAGAAAGAGAGAAAATTGGTCCTGAAAGGGTTTGGATAATAAATAATAATGAATATTTATATAGTGCTTTTAGGTTTGCAAAGTGTCATCTCATACTATCTCATTTGATGCGTACAACAACCCTGTGAGGTAGATGATGATGATGATGATGAATAAAAACTAGCATTTATATAGCACTTACTATGTACCAGGCACTGTGTTATGCTTTACAATTTTATTATTATTTTACAAAATTAACACCACCATTTTATAGATGAAGAAACTGAGGCTGAGGGGTTTAGTAATTTTCCCAGGGTCACACAATTAGTGTCTGAGGCAGAATCTGAACTCAATTTTTTCTAATCCTCAGTCCAGCCTACCCTGCATAGCTGCTTCAGTGGGATGGAGAAGAGGGAAGTAGTGCATGTATGAAAGTGTGATGGTGTGTGTGTATGTGTGTGTGTGTGTATGTGTGTGTGTGTGTGTGTGTGTGTGTGTGTATGAGAGAGAGACAGAGAGACAGAGAAACAGAGAGAGAGACAGACAGAGAGAAAGACAGAAAGAGAGAGAACAACAGAAAGACCTAGGGAACAGAAATCAGAAATTGAAAAAGAAATTGATCTATTATCAAGGAGTAAAAAACTAAGGAAGTAAATGACAGAGACTGAGAAGAGAAAGCAGAGAAGAGGTGAGAACAAGGTGGAAAAAGATGGGCACTGAAAGAAGGAAAAGGATTGTAGGGGTTGGGGAAGGAATACATATGATTTTGTGCCCCCCTCTCAAAGTAATATGGGGGTTGGGGAAAAAATTTACTACAGTGGTGCCACTTCCCCAGACCCCATATGTTATTTTTGTGGCTTTTAAAGGTGAGGGCAGGTGAGGTTGAGGAAAGGTGAGTGAGCACATATATATATATATATATATGATATATATATATATATATATATATAAATAATATATATATATATATATAATATATATATATATATATAAAGGTGAATGAGCATATATATATATGCATATATATATATATATACGTATATATATGTATATATTATTGTGGAATGAATTAAGTAGACCTATTGAGAGACTGCAAATTTATTGAGGCTGAGCACCCCTACAACAAGCCCCTCCAAGACCACTGGGACCCCACCCCCACCCTGAGACAGACAGACAGACACACACACACACACACACACTCTCTCTCTCTCTCTCTCTCTCTCTCTCTCTCTCTCTCTCTCTCTCTCTCTCTCCCATCCAATCTCAATGCTGCACAGCTCCACTTCTCCAGAAGTCCCTACTTGTCTCAGGAAAGTCACCCACACCTTTCTCAGAGCCAACCTTTCCCCATACTATTCCCCCTCCAGTTTTTCCAATTTACCTGGCACTGAGGGTGACTCCCCAAGGTCAAATGGCCTAGAGGCTGATGGAAAGCTCCATATTTAGCCCTAGGTGACTTCAGACTTGGGCTAGGGAAAGAGGGAGGGGAGAGACTTGATACATAAACTTAGAGCCTTCCCTATTACTCCAAATTGTTAAAGGCCCCCCACCAAAAGCCAGAGTTCTCTCCCTGTCTTCCCTCTCTGCACCCAGCCCCTTCCCAGAAAAACACTTCTACTTACCCCTGAGGGTAAGAGGCTAGAAACCCAATGCAATTTGGATGTGTAGAGTAGGAGGGAATTCAAACTCAAAACCAATACACTTTACAGTAGCCAGAAAAGGAACAGAGCCAAGGGGAAAATACACATACAGACTTCCCTATAATCAGCACCACCCCTCACCAGATACCCACCATCCACTCCTATCTCTGACACCCATGAGTTGATGAACGACCTCACAGGGATCAGGGTCTCCCAGTCCAGCTTCACCTCTGTCAGACCTCTGCCTGAAGCCAGGACAGGATGGAGCAAGAGCACCTAGGGTTACCCCATCTTTTCTACTCCCTCCCAGACCCGATGAAAATGTCCTGCTAATCGTCCTTCACCTGCTTTTCTCTGACTGAGGGGACGAGGAGGTGTGGGTGTGCTGTCTCTGGGCAGAAGGAATCACAGGCGGCAATCTCTGAGTATGAGACTGACCTGTTAACACAGCTATCTTCTCCAACCCACTCCATCCCAACCCTCCATCATGTCCCCATCTTGCCCTGCACCCCCATCCACACCCAAGCCATTCCCAAATGCTTCCTTCTCCTTCTGTAATTCCATTTCCTTTATGTGTTCCATGCCTGTCCTAATCTTATTCCTGTTCCATTCAAGTAGTCCTTCTCCAGAGCCAGCCCCTAGACTTAGCTCTAGCTTGGGTCCTGAAAGCAGCAGTTCCCAAGCAAGTGCTCACCCCTAACTCAGCTCCTGCTTTTTTAGCTCCAAGCTCTGAGCATCAAGGAAGAGCAATGGTGAATGGGAGGGCTGCACTACTCCATTGATCTCAACTCCCAAGCTACCCAGGGAACAAGGACAAAGACGGAGAGATGGAGAAACACATAAAGATGAAAAACAAGAGTTGAGTCTTCTTAAAGAAGAGCTACAGAGAGACACCAAGAGAACTGTGACAGAGTGGGAGTAATAGTCCCTCCACCCCCAACACACCCCTTTACCTACACAGGACCCGCCGGAAGGGGTAGTGCTGGCCAGCCAGGCAGGGGCCCCCTGAGGGGCAGCGCTGACCTGGCCCCTGGCTCCTCTGGCAGAACCGTGCTCATCCGTCTGTGCCCAGTAAAGTTTGAATCCAGCTCCTAGGGAGCTTGGGGATGGTGGGGGAGTGCCCTGTGGGGACCAAGGCAGGCAAGAGTGGCACACATATCGTGGGAAAGGGGAGGCGGACAAAAGTAAGGGGAAAGCACAGGAGCTCAGCCCAATCTAGGAACCACACACCAGCTCACACACCCACTCCCGTACACACACACACACACACACACACACACACACACGCACTCATACACACAGGCATACATACACACCTGGGCTGCCCGCCCTATGTATATATATGGTGATGCACAGAACACCCCTAGCCTCCCATTGGCCAGCCCAGGACCCAGATTATCAATATTAACTAGCTAGACTAAGCTGTCATTGGTGGAGAGTCCACTGAGCCCCCCGGGAACTGAAGGAGGGGGCTGGCCCTGAGGGGGTGGGGCGGGAATGGGGAGCGGGGGACATCTGTTCTCCATGCATATTTCATAAGGAAGAAATGGAGAGATAGGAAAAGGGTGAGACGGGGGGACGGCGGGGGAGGCAGTGAGGGCTAAGGGAAGAGCCAGGGGCAGGATTGCAGATGAACCCTCACAGTTTCCTATACCAGAGGTGAGAGAGGACAGAGACACCCCAGGAACTATGGCAGGTGGGGACTCAATCAGCATCCCACTCTGAGTTCAGGATATTGACTTGGCAACATTGTCTATGGACATTCTTCTGACTTTGGCTATTTTTTGGGCATTGCTCCCACTCTCTTCCTCTGAATGACGGAGGTGCCCCAATGGTACAGTTGGGAGAACAGATCCTTGAGTGAGCATGGTGGACTTGAACCATAATAAACCCTGGAAGGGGACCCAGTAATTCTGATTCTCTATTCTTTTCTCTTTCCTTCCCCAAAACCTTGACTCCTTGCCAATCCTTGACCAGCATTTAGCCCACTCTTCTCCCTCTGTCTGTTAGTGGTTATTGCTTCCAGTACATAGCAAGTCCATCTCACGACTCCTTACCTCCTCCAGCAAGGAAAGGGCAGGAGCAAAAGGCCATTCACCCAACCCAGAGCCTAGTCACTTTATCTAAGCTGGGAAATCCAACCTATCCCATTGTGGGTAGGGGGCCACTCTAAAAGAAAGGCATGAGGATTGGAGGCACGAAGGCTGGGGGACACACTTTGGAAAAGAGGCAGATTCTGGGGGATTCTGAGCTAGAGGGACGGGGGTAACACTGGGGAAAAGGGGCAGAGTTGGGGCAGGGGGGAGTGGCTAATGTTTTGGGTACATTCGAGTAATATGAAAACAAGATGCAAAATTACAAGCAAATACATATCCATTATGTCCAATTGAGTGAGAAGCTTCAGTCCCATGCTTAGTCCTCGGATAGATGGTCATGGGGTATTCCAGCAGAGCTTAGGATAGAGGGAACTCCAGGATTGGAGCTGGGGGTCTGGTTTTTCCTCACCAGCTCAGCTTTCAAATGTCTTTCTCAACAAACATTTCCTGAACATTCATAGCAAACCAAGGGTCTGGACAACATTGAAGATGTTAACCCTGCCCTCCTTACTTCTTTCTCACTCCTTACCCATTAACCAACCATAATTACATGCACATGCATACATGCATCCTTGGTCGAATGAATAACATTCAGCAGGTTGCTGGAGGATGGGGAGACAGGGGATTGGGGAGCAGGCAGGGATGTATGTAGGGCAGTACAGCCCAGACCAGTCTAGGAGCAAAAGTTCTTAGGAAGCCTAGTGTGTTAGGATGGGAAGTTGGGTGGTATCTGGATGGGAGAGGGAGACAGGCTCTGAAAAAACTGGGCCTCGATTTCCCCACTGGATTACTTGGGGAAGGTGTAAAAGGACACAATGAAGGGGACCACATCCAGCCTTTGATGCCCTTCTTCCTAAACTACACTCAAGGGCTGGCTTCCCACTCCCTAATCAGCCTTCCTGGATTCTCTCCAGGTTGAGGATAGAGGTAGACTATATATGAGTTCAGTTTACTGGAGGTGTTCCCTGGTCTTTCTTCCACAGACTTCCTCCCTCTCCACCCCCCAGCTGGGCAGTGCCAGCTCCCACCTGGGCAGGCCCAGACAGGTGCCCAGGCCCCAGCAGATGGGCTGAGCTGGAGGGGAGAAGAGGCTCAGAGAGGGGGGAGAAGAAGGAGGGGGGCAGGGGATCAGGTGGCAGCTCAGTTCTTGCATCATCATTGCCATGGCGCTGATTAAAAACCAATCTCCACCTAATGAGCCCCCAGCAATAACAGCACTCCCCCTCACCCCAATGCGCTCCCAAGATACAAGGAGACACAGAGACTTGAGAGACATACAGAGAAAGTCTCAGGGAGACAGAGGCCTGGAGGGAGATACAGACAAGTGGAAAGATGGGGAGACAGATGCAGGAGAAACAAGGGAAATGGGGAGACAGTGACTTGGAGGAATCACCAAGAAATGGGACAAAGAGTATAAGGGAGACATGCATCTGAGCAAGGCACAGAAAGGGTATTGAGGCACTGAGACTCACAGAGATGGGGAGATGATTAAGAGTTATGACTAGACATGGTTCTGGGGGAGAGGAGACATATTGGGGAGATAGAATCACAAAAACATCTAAGGAAAGTCATAATGACTATCAACAAAATGGAGAAATGAAGAGCTATAAGAGGGTGAGACACCAAGGGAAATAGAGACACAGAGGAGATTTTATACCATAAGAAACAGAAAGAAAGAGTTCATTAGAAGTTCAATAGAAGTGCTGGAAAAGGACCTTAGAGGTCATTAACTCCAACTCCCTCTTTTTTTTTTTTAATGGAGAAACCCTGGTTTAGAGAGGCCAGGTGACCTGCCCGACACCACACAGGTAATTAGTATCAGAGCTAGAATTCAAACCCAGACCCTCTGATTCCATGTCTAGTGTTCTTTAGAAGGTCAGGGAGGACTAAACCCCAGTCTCTTTGTGACCTTGGGAATATTACTTCTCTGGACCTCAGTTTCTCCATTAGTAAAGTCTAATGATCTTATGAAGGGAATGGAGTATGGTGGAAGGAGCATTGGGTAGAGTTAGAAGGCCTGGGTTTAAATATTAGCTCTACTACTCTATCTTATGGACTGACCCTTGAACGCTTAAGCCTCTTCTCTGGGCCTTAGTTTATTCACCTTTAAAATGAAGGACCTAGATTAAATGACCTCCAAAGCTCCTTTCAACTCTATCATTCTATGAATCCAGATCAAATTGTGCCTAAACAGGCCTGAAGGAAGAAGGCAGCTGAGGGCATATATGTGAGACCTGGTGTCTCTTTTGCCTTTCAGCTGTTTCCTTGACTCTGGACAAGGACTCTGAGGCCCCACCCTAACACTGGGTGATTGAATTCCCATCACTCTCTTTTGTAATACACTGCTATTGCCTCATACACACCCCCTCCCCACCCACTAACATCTCAGGGACACCAGGCAGGAATCACAATCACCCTGGACAGCTCAGACTCTGGAGCTGAGTCAGAATTCTGGGTTCCTAACCCTATCTGGCAGGCTTGGGGAGGGGGAGGGGAGGGAGGGAGAGACAGTTCAGGGCCCTGGCTAAATCTGAGGTCAACATCCAATCTCTGCCACCCTCCACCTCCATTCCTTACAGGAGAGAATTCTCAGCTAGTTGTTAGGACAGTTCCAGGAGCTACAGGGTGAGCATAGAGGTGTGAGCTGTAGGAGCAGGGGCTGGGATCCAGGTGGGAAAATTATTATTGATATTATAGATTATTATCATTGTTATTTCTCTTTTGTATTTGTATATAGATCTTTCACTTTCCAATGCACTTTCACACTCATTACTTCATTTTAACCTCACAACAACCCTAAAAGGAGGGATAATGAGGGAGAGAAGTTATTGGGTGCAGAGGTTGGGGGGGGCAGGGCAGGGAGGGTAGGGTGGAGCAGGAGCCCAGGCCTCTGGGCTGGGTGGGGGAGGGGGTGGCCTGAAGGAGCTGGGAAGCATTGGGTTTGGCAGGAGAGGGTGTGACATATGTGGGGAGCCCTGGGGACCCAGCCGGGCCTGCGGCTGGCAGGGACAGCAGACGGAGTTAACCCTCCATATTCCGCACTGCCTGACCCTGCCCAGGAGCTGGCTGGTTAGACTGTTATTTTACAAGACAGGGAAGGAAGGAGGCGAAGGGGCCTGGGCATTGGGATAGAAGGCAAGAGGACCCAAGGGCAGTTGTGTCTCTGGAAGGTGACAGCAGTTCTGGGCTCTCGTT